CCCGCGCGCGAGGAATCCCTGCAGGAGGAGATGAGGATGATGAAGATCATGAAGAAGAAGCGTCTCACTCTCCCGATTCTTTCCCTCTCTCACTCACTCACTCACTCACTCAAGTCAGCTTTATTTATCAAGCGCTTGTAATAATACAGATTGTGTCTAAGCAGCTGTACAGTATTAAATATGAAAATAGTGTGTCAGTAATGCAGAAGAACAACAGTAAACACTCAATGTTCAGATAATCTGTCTATCTATCTAGCTGTCTGTCTGTCTGTCTGTCTGTTTCTCTCTGTTTTCCATCTAACTGAATCTCTTGTTTGTTGTGCAGCAGCAGATGTAATTAGTAAATTGTGGGCGTTTGAGTGTCAGTGTGTAATTTCGTCGTTTTGGTGCATATCTCAGATCAGAAATGAAATTCTCAAAACTACTTGTTCAACCTCCACATCATCTAGTCACTTGTGCACATCATAAAAGCAGTTTCTCATTCTTTTGAACAAGTTGCGATTGCTTTGGTACATTCATGCAACTGATTATGTGCATTTATCTGCGGTTTGCTACATGATCAGCTGCTAATGTCATGTTGCTCAAAATGAGAGAGAGAGAGAGAGAGAGAGACTCACCCGCGCGCGAGGAAACCCTGCAGGAGGAGATGAGGATGATGAAGATCATGAAGAAGAAGCGTCTCACTCTCCCGATTCTTTCCCTCTCTCACTCACTCACTCACTCACTCAAGTCAGCTTTATTTATCAAGCGCTTGTAATAATACAGATTGTGTCAAAGCAGCTGTACAGTATTAAATATGAAAATAGTGTGTCAATAATGCAGAAGAACAATAGTAAACACTCAATGTTCAGATAATCTGTCTATCTATCTATCTATCTATCTGTCTGTCTGTCTGTCTGTCTGTCTGTCTGTCTCTCTCTGTTTTCCATCTAACTGAATCTCTTGTTTGTTGTGCAGCAGCAGATGTAATTAGTAAATTGTGGGCGTTTGAGTGTCAGTGTGTAATTTCGTCGTTTTGGTGCATATCTCAGATCAGAAATGAAATTCTCAAAACTACTTGTTCAACCTCCACATCATCTAGTCACTTGTGCACATCATAAAAGCAGTTTCTCATTCTTTTGAACAAGTTGCGATTGCTTTGGTACATTCATGCAACTGATTATGTGCATTTATCTGCGGTTTGCTACATGATCAGCTGCTAATGTCATGTTGCTCAAAATGTATTATATAGTTTTCTGTGCAATAGTCTCACCCCTCAAAACATCTAGTCTTTAGTTCATCGTATAAGTCATTCAGTGCAAAATGGTTCATCTTGTCATAAACTGTCAAGCACATTTTTTACACATTATTATTAGACTTCTTGTAAATTTGCCATGAATTGTGCAAGTGAATCTTGAATTTCACTAACGAAGAGAATGGAGATCAACTAATGATAAACCAGTTCTCTGAAATAGCTCAAAGGTGCATCTCATGAATCTTCAGTTGGAAAGCATATACTGTATAGACAGAGGACTACACAAGAGTTACACATTATTGTACTTTGTGCCCATATTTCTTTTTCCTTTTCTATATCACAATGACATTGTAATGTGTGCGTGTTTTTTTTGTGGTCAGACCACTAGTAAAAGTGTAGCTGGGAATTCTATCAAGTCTCTTTCAATCAATATCCCACATACAGTAATGTGTAAATTTGTACTTTTGAAATGGATATATGGCATACTGTTCAATACAGTAACTGTCATCCAAAATGTTGCCATAGTTGCCATAACAGAGTGCACTGTTATACTGACAACAAGACTAAGCATTGTGACTATCTTGTTTGTGAACAATGGCACAAGTACTTTTCATTCTGATGGCACTGATATGTTCGTTGACATAAATACTTCATTTTGAGAGATGAACTAAAGATTTTGAGTGTTACAGGCTTTTGCAGGTAATCCATTGTGTGCTGCTGTTTGTACAAATTGTTTTGAGAAATGCACATACTTTTTTGCAAATATTAAGGATGATTTGAGAAATGCTCCAAAGCGACTGAGAAAAACTGTAACGTCCGCAAACGAAGCATCAGAGTGAAGAAACTCTTGTGTAAATGAATCAGTCTGATGGTCATTGTGAATTTCAGTTTTATTGCTGTAAGTTACTGCAGATTTACTGTGAATATTTACATGACTCCTCCCACTGACCTGTCAGCGTCCAGTGAGCATCAGCCATGATCTGACAGATGGAACCATGGGAAGCATTTACATTCACAAAATCATGATGGTCAACACACAACTCACACACACACTCACTCACTCACACACACACACACACACACACACACACACTGCATTACCTGAATGACACAAAGGCTTTAGGGGCTTTTCATCAGATAATTCTCCATGAGCTGTGTGTGTGTGTGTGTGTGTGTTTATCCACCATCAGATAATATGAGATTACACGTCTAAATCATTTGCAACATATTCAATAAAAATCTTCTTATAAATCATCAGAAAACCTCAAAGAAGAGATGATGGACAGCGACGGACTCTGAGATCATAACAACGAAAGAGCAGCATCAGAGCTATTTCTGAACGCTGCTGTTTATTTTTATGTTGATTATATTTGCAGCTGAATTCCAGTCGGTTCACATGTGCTTCAGTCGCAGCGACCGCTGGGCATCTGTGCATAAAAACATGTTTTGGCAACTGTTGCCACAGAGATGATGGGAAACAGGCCACAGGCAATGCTCTCTCTCTCTCTCTCTCACACACACACACACACACACACACACACAGTTTCTCTGCACATAAAGCTGGCTGAATATCTGTCCATGTCATCCGCAGCACATGAAATACGGCTCTATTATTCACTCTTAATGAGTGTTTCCCAGCATCATCAACACATTAAAGCACAGCAGATTTATGCAGCATTAAACAGGGTTCAGACACCCAGCTCTTCAGAACTTCCCAAGGTGCTTTGCAGAAACAGCATATAACTCTTCAGAGGTGCAGGAACAGGCACGCTGACCTTCAGCAACTACAACTACCAGCACAACTCAACCAAAGAAGACAGCATGCCACACATTTAGACAGAAGCAACATTTATTTCATACACAGGCATTTATAACCCGCTTACACTTGACATCTACATCAGCGAGGAGAAACTTCAGGTGAAAAGCGTGTGAAGCTGTCTCTATGACTAACTGTTCTCTGGAATACTGCCAGTCACAAGCTTCACTCATTAGTGCACTAGACAACCACAGACTGTTCTTTTACAATGACCCATGTACACATGATGCATTAGAGAAGGTAAAGGTGTTCAGAGCCTCGAGATGCTGTGCATGTGTGTGGCACTAGTGCGGTTTAGTGTGGTCTCCTAAACATGGATAAAGAAGCTCAGAAACTGTCAGCGTCGAGTCTGTCTCACACACATGTTCACTTCTTCCACCGGTTAACACATTCATCACATTAATGACAGCGTCTTGTTGACTTGAAAGTTCATCTTCATTTGAAAACTTTGGTCTAGTCGTGACTCTGGTCAGTTATGGTTTGCTTTGGGCCATAAACGTTTTCCCACAGTGTGTTTGTGGTCAAATATTCCTCTTTGTGGCACAAAAGAATCTTTATTAAACATCATCCTGCAGTTCCAACAGTGCATCGAGCGCTAGTAAAGTTAAGGTCGTGGGTTCGATTCCCAGGGAATGAATGAACTGATCAGTGTAAGTCTGCCAAATGCATAAATGTAACTGTAAATCTTCATATACTTGTAGTAAAAGAATGTTTTCCTTCCACATCACATATTTGTACAATAACATGCACGCCAATTAATCACTTGATGCCTTTATGTTTCATATCCATGTGTTGCTATATACAGCATATTTATATATAATGCATTCATACAGTCTAAATTGTGGCAGAATGGTTCATGACAACATATGTGACCTAAGTAGAGCCTAAATTTCATATTAAAAGAGCTGTTCAGAATCATTAAGTGACAGTAAGACTCATCTAAACATACACAAGAGTCCATCTAAACACATATTTAAATCCACATAAGCAGCGAGTTCTTGTGAGTTTTAAAAGTAAGAAAAAAATAATATTTTTAACATTGTTCTAGTAAGTCATCCAGTCGTCGTACTAAAAGGTGCACATTAAATCAGGGAAACTCAACAGCGTATGAAGTACAAAAACGTGTTTACAAAGGTACAACAAGCTCAGAGTGGCGTGTCGAAGACTTTCTCTGAAGATCGCTCCACATCTTCAGCTGGCGAGAGCGAGGGCTTCAGCTTCCCTGGCGTTCTGGAAATGGGAAGAAAGTCACTGTCTTGGCTGAACTTGCCTTTACAAGCAGCAGAGTCCTGCACGAACTCTTGGATTTCTGCTGGGAGCCTCCGAAACTTGTCCTGATACTCCTGGTCCAGCTCGCTCTGAAGCTGCGGAAGAAAGCGGTACAAAATCAGACGAGGAACTCATCGGGAACAGAAGCCTCCAGATCAGAGCATCTCAACTGGTTTTTCTTCGCTGATTTGAGTCTAATAGCGTGTTTTCTTCTATCTCTTGTTGTTTGTCTTTCCATTGGTTGCTATCGTAGCAGGGAAAAACAAAGCTATATTTCTGGGTCGTGATCCAGCAGTTGGGAAGCTCTGATCTGGAGCGTAATCACAAAGCAGATGTGAAGCCACAGCGACGTCATGTGAGAGAATACAGCGCTGTAACATGAATAAGCACACGGATTAAACAACAAAATAAAGCCGCACCATGTTAGAATGAGTCAGGCCGACCGCAGGAGAGTAAAACCACAGCCTGAGGTTAAAGGTTCAGATTAGAGACGATCTCAGAAGATCACTTCAGTGTTGAAAAGCCAATGCGACACGGTTTCATCTCATCTGCCAGCTCTGGGAGAGACCAGTACCCTGCTTTTCTCCAGGCACAGACTCCCCTAGTGATTAAAGATGTCAGAATTGTATTCATTCTGACCCAATAATTGCTTTACTGCTTATTTGACTGGTTAACTACCCCGCTCGCTCCCCTGGGAACGGTGTAATTAAAGAAAGATGAATCGTGTCAAAGACTGTGATTTCGAAACATTCCCACTCGCTGGTGATCTGAGAGCGCCTCTGATCTCTGCTTGCGCCGGTTAACCCTCAGAACAGGGTTAGTACTTGCATGCACTGCTTCGAGCTGGTTACGTCAGGAAGCCTAATGTACAGTTCTTTACCAGCACAGAAAATAAAAACAAACATCAGGCATTTCCCCTGAACTCCACACTTGCACATCCCAACTCCTCAAACCGGTTAAGCGTCGTCATCTTAAAGGTCACCTTCTAGAAAATCAGATTTTCGACGGCTGACAGCGACGTGCCTCGGCCAGATGGTTCCCGCAGAAAGCCTGACCTACTTAGGGGAAGGACATCTGCTGTCCCCTGCTGGACAAGACACAAAGCCTGGGATTGAAGTGGACACAAGCGTGACCCTTCGCCAAGACGACTGCTATCAGACGAGCCACGTCTTTATCACCTGGGCTCGGAGGTAATTAAACATCACGAAACAAACTCAACCCATTCATCTCCTGTTCATCTTCATCGAGGCGTCAGCTACACGCGGTTGCACTGGTCCGGTCGGTTACACTTTATTTTGATAGTCCACTTTAGACATTCTACTAACTACAAGTAACTTTGCAACTACATGTGTACTAACTCTGCTGGAATGATCTTCCCACCCCTATCCGGAATGCCGAATCCCTGACAATGTTCAAGCGACAGCTGAAAACTCATCTCTTTCGATGCTACTTTACTACATCCTAAATAAAAAAAACCTTTGTCTTTCTCTTTATTTATTGTTTGCCTCTTTAAGATGAATGCTTGATGTATTCCCCAGTTGTAAGTCGCTGTGGATAAAAGCGTCTGCTAAATGACTAAATGCAACTCTCAGAGTAGACTGTTAGGTTAGGTTTAGGGTTTGTAGAATAAGTTGACAGTCAGTGTGTTGTATGTTGTGGATCCATCAAAATAAAGTGTTAGCAGATATTAAGCAGACACTCTACTAATACTCTACTAACTGCTAGTTGACATGTAGTTGCAAAGTTACTTACTGTTAGCAGAATGTCTAAAGTGGACTATCAAAATAAAGTGTAACCGTCCGGTCTTGGTTATTTGTGTTAACCCTCTGGTATTGTTCATTAGGGAGTCACACTTGTGTTGTTCGCGGTCAAAACTGACTAGCAGCCATAATCGTGTAATAATTTTATTTTTGTGAAATTAATATACTACATTTCATTTCAATAATGTTTTTAATATTTTGCATTTTGAGAGAATTTCATGTTACTAATTAATATTCATATCTAAATTATGGACTATTTTCTGTATAAAATTTAAATTATTTAATATAATTTTTCAATTACAGTTTTTTCCAGCTGCTTACACACATTTTCAAAACTTCACACACAAATTCAAGAATTGCTCACAAAAACACAAAATGCCTCGCATCTCTTGCACAACGAAGCACTGCATTCAAAATATCACAAACACATCTCAAAAGCAAACATTTGCTATAATATTAATTCCTGTTAGATTTGTGTGTGTTACACAGAGAACTGTGTGTTGTGTTTTGCAAAAAGTGTTTTATGAAATTGAAAACTGAGTCAAAGGCCAAGAATTAGATTTGGTGTGTGGTTCTGGTGTTTCAGAAACTGTGTGACAAATAAAGATTTTGTGTGCAAGCAGTTGAAAAAAACTGTAATGCAGTATAAGTTAAAAATAGAGCAAAAGTATTTAAAATCCATTGATGTGAGGCAGATTTGATCTGTAATACCATGGAGTATCCATTAGACGCCATATAAACGCCTGTTTATATTCAATGCTGTGCATTCCTTAGTTTCTGAGCAGTGTTTTCAGACGACACTGTCACTCCTTCATTGCTGTGTCAGCATTGTGGCTGATTTGTAGATTGTACACACAAAAACAGCTTTGTATTTTCATATTTCTGCCTATTTCCCATTCATTTCTATGGTGGTCATTTCTGATCGTGAACAACACAAGTGTGACTATTTTTTTTGACCATTTAGCTTTTTCGAATCAATCAAGTCCATGATTTGTTTGGGTCACATCGAGACTGCTATAACAGTCTCAGAGTTTCAAACCATTCCAATGAACTATCGATTTTTTACATTTCCAAAAAAACATTTTTCAGTCTAAAATGTCCGAACAACACCAGAAGGTCAAGAAGTCACTCACACACCGCTGATTCTAAAGGAATACGTTTGTAATGTAGGAAGATCCTCAGCAGAACAAGCCATGTTTTATCCTACACTGTCATGAAATAAACGTTCTTTTTCTTTTGTCTTAACCTAGTGAAGCACACGAGTTAGTTCTTTTAACAGTAGTCCAAAAAGATGAACGATTGAGACCCAGCCCTTCTTGCTGAGTATTTGTGTTGTGGAAACTTTGAGCCATTCAGTCCACTCCAGTCATTACAGAGCTTTCCTTTCTGAAATAAAAATACATATTAAACGTGCCTTATGAGGCCGCAGCGATAAGAACTGATCACAGCTCAGACACACTTTTACTGTAAACGTGCACAGTCAAGAAGGATAAAGATTCAGAAAAGTCACTTATAAACGCTGACAAATCAAACATCTCCCTCGCGGAGACCAGCATCTCCTCAAGAGACCTGCAGATGAAAGCACGGCCCATTCTAGTTTCTGTTCCCTCCCGACTCGCAGTTAAAAATGTCTTTCCTCAAAAGACTCGTCATCTGTCAACAAACCACCGCTCTCTTAAAGCACTGGGAGGAGAACGACCTTCTTCAACATCTGTCCTAATTCTGGTCTGCCATCGAGGGATGCCAAGCTGCTGGAATCTAGATTGGGCAGAGACTGAAAACGTTCCTGTTTCACACTCGTCACGTGTGCGTTCACAAACGCTCACTAAAAGACTAAAGACCCATCAGCATCAGAGACTCTATAATCAGCAGCGTTTGATTATTAATCATCAGTTCCGTGCGAACAATCGCTGGGTCGTCGTTGCTCTCCGAGAGCAGGTCATTCCCAGCCGGAGCGCTGAGAGCCGGGGTTTGTTTGTGCTCCTCGGGTCTTTATCGAGTGACAGTGGTCCCCTGGCGAGAATCAGGAGGGTCGTGTGAATACTGGTCTGCCATCGAGGGATGCCAAGCTGCTGGAATCTAGATTGGGCAGAGACTGAAAACGTTCCTGTTTCACACTCGTCACGTGTGCGTTCACAAACGCTCACTAAAAGACTAAAGACCCATCAGCATCAGAGACTCTATAATCAGCAGCGTTTGATTATTATCATCAGTTCCGTGCGAACAATCGCTGGGTCGTCGTTGCTCTCCGAGAGCAGGTCATTCCCAGCCGGAGCGCTGAGAGCCGGGGTTTGTTTGTGCTCCTCGGGTCTTTATCGAGTGACAGTGGTCCCCTGGCGAGAATCAGGAGGGTCGTGTGAATTATTAATGAAGAGCGGCTCACATCAAACACGGGAAAGCGCGGTCACAGCGAGAGCCGAGCGAACGCAACGCCTCACAGACGTCTCCATCTGTCTCTACTGTGCTGCGTTTGGCCAGAAAAATATAACATGCTGTGTGATTGCAAGACCGCAGTGTTTTTAGCAATAAAATGCCCATAAATGAAAAGTTCACTCACAAATGAAAACCTGCCAATGCTTATGTCTTCCCAAAATCATGTGCTGTTATTTGTCCAAAAGGGACCAAAAACACAGTCAAACTATTATCGTATGATGAACAGAAGGAGATTTGTGAGACGAGGGAACGAATACTTCAGATGATCACAGCATCGCGTCCGGCTGAGGAGAGCAACACCAAAGACACGAGAAGGCAAGCCTGCAGCCATTGGCCAAAAAAGCGTAACGGCTAATGCTAACGGGAAGGAGACCGGACGCCGTTTTATTTGAATGGGTGTCAATGGAGGAGAGGCTTCACTACGCTGAATAAACAGCTTTTCAGAGGAAACAGCTCATCTCTAACATGTTTTACACTAAACACTACTTTTGGATTGAACTATTTAGAGTTTACACAGAAAAGAATGCTGTTTTATGAGAGAAGTGCCTGACTTTTGCGACAGCTGGGATTCAGTTTATGGCACTTCTCATTCATTCCTACGGGATCCGTAAACGATGACTGAGTGTCGCACAACTCTGACTGAAATTCAACGATGTCAAGGCTGTGATGGTTATTAAGGCACACGTGATCCAAGTTAGCCGTTATGGTTTCTCCCAGAGATTGTCTTCACATTACAGCCTTGACATCGTTGAATTTCAGTCAGAGTTTGGTTATTATGGGGTTCAGAGCGGATGAGTGTTGCCATGGCGATGCACGCAGCTTCACTCAGAGAGGAAGACGTCTGCAACAAGACCTCAGAAACAGCACAGGCTTAGCGTTAGCATGAATAATGCTAAGCACAG